TTAGAATACACCGATTTTTCTTTTAAAAATTGGGAGCGTCAATCGTCGTTTTTGGTATATAGTTTGTTCACCATTTTTGCTTAGAATCGAACGTAGAATGCAAATTTGGCATACACTTTTTCCAAACCTAAGTTACTCCACCCTAATGTACATATGTACATGAATATATCTGCATATGTACGAATATGGACACGGTTGACGAAAGTTGCACCACTAAATGGGCTATAGAAACCAAATACGTGTATATGTACATATGTACGTAGATTCGTAAGTTTTCCTCGAAAATTTATCGCCTTCGTTTAAGCAAGTAGGACAAGTGCTGCCACTCGTGTTGAATTGTTTTCATGTTGTTGCTGCATTTACCCCATCCTATTGTTATTTTGCATAAAATGTTACATTAATGCAAGCTCATACGTTATTATTCGATGCCTTTGCTTTTTACTTTTCTCAGTTTGCTTTATATGTATGTATGTATATACACATGTATGTATGTAGGTATGAAACTTGAATTTTAACGAACAACAAGGCGCAAAGCAATTCTTAAGCACAATCGCTAAAGCGGAGTTACAGCGGCTCGACTTATTCCTTATAAGTATGTAGATACACTTGGGGTATTTACAACGGTGTCGTAAGTGTCGTATTGTTGTATATCGTAAACTTTAAACGCTTTAACAACATATTAAGGGGTTCGAAAAGTACCATAAAAGCTATATTATGAATTTTCGTAGTATTGAAAAACAGTTGGTCGTGGTTTAAAATTCAATAAACGTTTATTTGAGCTTTTAATGTTTACGACATACAACAATACGACACTTACGACACCGTTGTGAATCCCTCAACTCTGACATTATTTCCGTCTTATACACTCTCTGCCTTCTCACCATTTTTCTTGTAACTAAATACAATACTCACAATAGGGGTATTCTCGACACCACATACATAAATCCAAATTTCAAACTTCGTACAAAAATTATAAAAATTCAGCAAGCTTTAACCATTGCACCTAAGAGCTTTACACTTTTTATAATTTTAGACGAATTGAACAAATATTAGAAGTACTCATTGCAAATAAATCTTAAAAAATTGTGGTTTTTTAATTTCTTTATTTTGATGATTCATATACAGTTGCGGTAAAAAATAGCACCAAAAATGCACAATGATATGGTTTCAAATTATGTTTATTTATTTACTTTTAATACTTTTAATTTAAAATAAACAAAACGACAAAATCTAACTTTTTTTGTACATATGAGAAAAAAGCACTTATGTTCGAAATTTGCCGCAGCATGTAATTTTTTTTAATCGGCATTAAAGTTTGCACTTAGCGCTGATGATCGTAAATAAATTACGCAACTTAAGAAAATTTTCAAAAATTCTCATAACGTAAACAAAAATGGACGCTGGTGGCAAGGTTTCCAAAGGTAAAATATTAATTTCAAATTTAATTAAAGTGTTTAGTTTAGCAGAAAGAGTGGTCACAATGGCACAGAGAAGAAATTCAACTTTGCCTTGAGATGTGAGAAAAACAAGCAAACCAAATTTGATGACTAATAATCCGAGATTTGACTGTGTAAACGGGGTGATTAAAGAACGAGCTTTGATTGAGATTATAATTACATGTAAACGTAATTTAAGCTTAAGTTCTTTAAACATAATCGTGGTACAAAGCTCAGTAACAATATAAAATAAAATGTTAATAAGCCACAATAAAATTGACAAATACATGGTTTAGGATGAGCCTGCCTGAAACTATACAATACAGCAAATGTATAATGTATAGAATGTACAATAACAACCACGCTGTAAAGTTTAAATAGCGGTAAATCAGCTCCACTACTGGTAGGTTGAATAAGGAAATGAATTAGCAACAAAGAGTTTAGGGGGTGTGCATGGTTAGCGCTTCTGACTTTGCACATCGATGATGCCGGTTCGATCCACGCTGAAGTCTAGTAAAAGAAGTCTGATGAGGAGATCCTCAATATAATTGACAAATTCTAAAATTGCTATTCAATTTCAATATTTTCGAACGATATCAGTTATAAAAAAAAATTAAGGGCCAGGGGCTTTACGATACCTATTTCACTGCACTATGATGTGTGTGACGGGTGTGTTTTCGCTAATGCACCGTGTAAAAGGAGTTTAAACATGCACTAAACGCGAACTAAGGCAAAACCCAGTCAAAATCTATTCATTAAATCTTCAAAATTACGAAAAAAAAAAATTAGAAATAAACACGTTAAACATAATAGTTGCGATCCCGTACGAGTCCGGACTAGTCAGAAATAGTGAGAATCAGTCAGATTTTACTGGAAATCGATCCCGTACTCGGTTCTCTGACTATTGAGAGGACAAAAAAGAGAGTAAATACGGTTCTCTCTCTGTCAGAAGTTACCAGTTTTAGTCCGAGAATTTTTTGCTGGTAAATTCTGGTAAATGTGTCAAATGATCAGCTGTAGGTGTTTGGCAACCAAATTGTAAACAAAAGAAAAGTGCACTCTGCTAATTCATGTTGAAAAGTATTTAATTACTTGTTTAAGTGGATTCTAATGAATTTGAAAGTATTTTTGGTTATTTACATGTGTGAACTGAGTGTGTTTACATACAAAATAAGCAAAAATTTACAACCAAAATTTGGAGGTTATGTTGAAGTTGACAGAAGTTACCATTTTTTACTAGAAAGCGATCCCGTACTTTTCAATGTTACTCTCTCGCTCTGAGCGAATTTTTTATTTTTTTGACAGTTTTACTAGTCCGAGTCCGAGGAATACGGGATTGCACCTAATAATTGACTACATGCGCATGAGAAGAGAAGAATTTACTCGTATACATACATACTACATATGTATGTACATATATAGTACATACATCCTTAGGTTAAGGACTTTTAAGGCTATTGCGAAATTTTCTTTTGTTTCAAAGCCTTTCAAACGTCTCCTTGTTCGGTTTTTCTTACGTGTTCGCATTTTTACTTTTATCCTACATTCATAAGTCGTTGCTAATATTACAAAGGTTAGTGCTTATATGTATGTGCTTTTCGTTTTCATCTTTCATTCCTGTTCAAGTGCACTCGGCAGAAGCGTTTCGGTTTTTTGCGGACTGTGCATTCGTATCTACTTATTCTTTTTATATATGTACATATGTATTCTTACAATGCATTCTTCGTACAAATAAATATATGTCATAGTGCATACTTTGGATAACCTTAGAATCGTCCTCAACGTGCACATTTTGTAAACACACTACTATATAAATGGAGACATATGTATATTGTATATTAAAAGGGTATTTAAGTCCAATAGTAAAGTCCTTTTCAAATTTATAACCAAAGGATGCTGTTTTAAACTTTTGCTATACAATTCTTGAAGAACGTTAACGTCGCTCGGACACAAATATTTGCTTTATAGAAAACATATTAAATTTGACCGTCGAGCAAGAAACATTGCTTTTTGTTAATTTGAAGCGCATCCCTACAAAATGTATATAAATACTGAGTGGGTATCGAAAAACAAATACTCCTATGGAAAGTCTATACTAAGGCAAATTTGGCTTCGGCAATTTTTCCTCCACTATTATTCCTAAGCGCCTTTTTCTTCATGGCTGCTTAATTGGCAGCAAAAACCGCGAGAAGGCGCAAAGTCGATATAATGCAAAGAATGTACGCTCCAATCACGATGAAGCGGACAAAGGTGACACCGTAAGATATACCGCTACTTTGGTTTTGTCGATTTTGACAATTCTGATCTAAAAGTAAACGACGCCTCATAGACTTCAAATGCACAGAAATGCACTAATACTTCCACAAAAAATACCCTTTTTCCAAAAAATCACATTTTCCTTATTAAATCTTATTCTAAAAACTATATTTATATGGCCTTATTCATAAAAATAAAATAGGCTTAAATAGCTTTATAAAGTGACATTTTAAAACAAATTTTCGTTTTATAAAGCAACTAAAGTCTTCTTAATTTTTTATTAATGTAAAATTTAGCCTTTCGAAAAGTTTAATATTAAGAAAATTGGCTCTTCGCGGCAACACCCAATTCGGCTTTGTTTACATTTTGTTCACAAATGTCATCGCCGCCAAGACGGCGCAATCTCTAATTGCTTCACCAAAGTCGATATAATGTTCGAGTGGGAGTGTAAACTGGATGAATGCTCAGTACAGACGTTTCAACGCGATGTTAAACTCACAGAGTAACTCTATTAGATCCCGTTCACATGAGATGCGCTTAACCCGCGTTTGTTACTAACACCTAATGGAATTTACGCGTTAGCATGGGGACACCTTGAGTAAAATGCAATGAAATACGCGTAGATGTAAACGCATGTTTAGCTCCCGTCATTTAAACAGGGCTTTATTCTTCGCGCTGAAACGACTAGCGGAAAATACTACAGGCAAATAAGTCTAGCTCTGTTATTGAAGAAAAGAAACAAAGAAGAAAAAGTGCTGATTGCAAAAAAATACTAAGCAGGGATCACACGATTTGAGATTTGTGCATTTTGATAGTTATAGAATGTGGTTATTTGGAATTTTTTTTTATTGAGCTGAACTCATTATCGATCAAAATTTCTAGACACACCACTCTATGGTCGGTCAAACCAGATATTAGTTAACTTATGATCCAAAAAATTAAATTTAACCTATTTAGTTCATTCGGAATACCGTCATACCAAGAGTATCGATATGAGTACACATTGCACATTTTTGTGCAATTCCTTGGATATACGCTTGCATAAGTCTTTCTCATGATAATGGAAAATATATGTTTGAAGCTTTCAAAATTTTAGCAAGCTAACATTTTACAAATACTTATGTAAGCACAAGAAATATATATAAATGGATGAATGGCAAAGAATAGCCTTATAGCGTCAGGCTTATCCTTAGTACGTTAATTTTTTCACATACATACATACATATATATGTATGTACATACTACTTATAATTCCTTGAGTATTATCTCTTTATTTTAACGTACTGTTTTTATTCCTTTTTTTTCCAGAATGCGATCGTTCATCGAGGAGAATGAAAAAAACGACCCTCTAATTAATGCCCCGGATAAAAAGAACAATCCGTGGGCTGAAAAAGGAAAATGCGTTCTTATGTAATATTATCGCAAACCACAACAATACCATACAAACATTCATAAGTTTCCCATTTACTACTATAATAACCACAATGCTACTAATATTCGTAATAACACCGTTAAGTATAGCGAAAACAAAAGCAGAGAATCAAAAAAATTTAGAAAGAAAGCTAAGTCCCAACAAACAAGAGAACAGTTTCAAAATGAAAGCAACAGCAGCAATAATAACAATAAACCAAATCGGCAGCAACCAAACAGCTGCGAATTCGCGTGTGAAGAGAGAAACGGAGGACAAAATAACCGCATTAATTCCCTAGATCCTGAAAATATTCAATTAGAACACGGTATTGAAGAAATCGAAGATGATAGTGGAGACGACGAAAGTGAAGTCAATCAAGATATTTTAAATGCTAATATCGCGGCATTAAGTTATAGTAATAATTATTACAATAACAATAATAATTACCACTATTATAACTACAACTTGAATTACAATCAACACCTTTACGAACAATCCCAATCTAAAACGCAAACGCTAATACGTCAGCTGAAACGGCGCACTTTACATGAAATCTTACAACGACCGGTTCTTATACAAATCGTGGCACTTTTCATGTGGTTTCACGGAAAATTCTGGAAATTTTATTATGAGACACTGACTCGAAGATTACAGTGAGATAAGAAGAAGAAGACACGGAACTTTGTGGTCGTCAGAAACCAGAAATACTAATTTTTGCGTTGAGGGCTTTTGTTGCACATTAAAAACTTGCTGCTCCAGGGCCGAATTCACTTTTCAACCAATGTTATGTGGAAGGATTCTTCAGATATTTTACAGCTTTTTATATCACCAACTTCTTCAAGAAGCAGAGTATAAAGGACATCTTGACGACCGCTCTTGTGAATGTTGCAAATTTATATCAACAAGAATGTAGATATACATTTCTATTTACTTTCCGTGCGTTTTCAAACTAATTTTATATACATATTTACTAACAAAACTTACTCATATTAATTGTTCAAAATATTTCTTTTAAATGCTTATTCAAAAAAAAAAAAAAAAAAAAAAAAAAAAACAGCAACCTTAATTCGCGAAATCGAGAACGAATTCTTCACCTATCTTCAATTTACTTGCATACTACTTTATCTGCAAACTTGCTACATAATAATGAATAAAATGGCCAAAGAATTGCTTTATGCAATCCTATAAACAAAACATAGTGTGACAACTGTACAATAGCTACTAATAGTAATGACTGCTAAATAATTTATCTTAGTTAACCTTTAGTATATTTTTTCTTAACAGTCACTTCCATTATTAACATTTGATATTTTTGGAGTTTTATTTGGCATTTTATGAGTTTTCTGGTTTTTATACAACACTGAATATTTTATTTATATTTTGTTTTGCTTGATTTAGAAGCTCCTTTAGTTTTGCATCCGTCACCCACCATCTTCTCTTATCTCTTACCCACATATTAACAAAAAACAAGGCACCTAAAAATTAGCAAATCCACTATTAACATCATCGCTACTAAATATAGGGTTATATGTATCTATGTATATGTAGATATTAGTGTTATTCTTACTACTAAATCGTCTATAAATATATACATACCATAGAGGATAATAAAAGAGACAGCCCCGATCCCACCCTATTTTTCTAGCAATATTAAGAAAATTAAGTGCATACAGTATAAAGAGCACCAAGTACCATGAGTAAAAAATTAATGTACTTTTTAATATAAATATCAGTTTTCAGAAATACAACAAAAGTTAAATTCAACGCAGTGCACTATGTGATACTGTCCTTAAATTTAAAATTTGTATCAAGACGAATTTATATAAGGTGGTAGGTGTGGCGTTTTATTGTCAAAATTTTTTATATCGCTAGTGAGTGAGGGAAAACGCGACAGTGTTTGTATTTTCTGTCGCTCTTTTTCATTCGGGTACGAATAGCTGAAGTTTGACAATGGCCCACCAATTACATACAAGTAATTGTTGTATTTTTGGTGAATTGATACCACCTTATATGTTTGCATTCGCATTGATTTGTATAAACGAAATCTTGGATATGTATATTTTCAGCATTGTTCATTTTGTTTAGCAGCAAAAAGGAAATATTAATAAAATACATATAACCAGTACATAGAAAAAACCGATTAATGTCTTAACTTACAAAAATTGTCAGCGAACAGTTAAATTCGGAAAAATACAAAGCGATTATAGAAATATTTTTGAGAAATTAACTTTTCTGCATACATATGTACGTGATAGATAAATAACCAACAGTTATGTTAAAGAAAGGAACCAAATTGAAACGAAGAAATTTGTCATTTAAAAACACTAAAAACGTAAAAACACTTACTAACTTTTAAAAAAGTTCAGTGTTACATTTTTAATAATTTTAAGAAAACCATAAGTGTATGTACTTTGTTTCGCTAATTTTTATTCTCCTCGACTGTTTTTCGGCACTAACACTCCCTTTTTATACTGAATTAAAAATGTCTAATAATTAAGACGTTTTAGAAGTTATATAGAGTTAAACTCTAAGTAAATAGTTCCTTTTATAAAGTTCATCTATTTATTTACACATATTACGGTCGTGTGTGCAGTAAGTAAATCAAAGTGCATGCTTTTTTGAAGTACCAAATAGGCATTTTTTTTTCGGCAATTCATTTGAAACCGGGTTCGCCGGAGAAAAATTGCAGAACCCGACTTCTTCAATCAATTCTAAAACATCTCAATTTTTAAAACAGTGGCTTTAATGTAGTTTTTAAAACTAAATTTTGTTTAAATTTCATATTCGGTAGCACAGAGGCGGTTACTAAAAAAGATATGCGTGGTTAATAATAATATTAATAATAAACATCGCTATCGACGTCTTCGACTCCATGCATATAACAGGGAGTCGGTAACGTCGATAACTATGTTTAACCGGAGATTAGTTTTAACCAGACATAAGTAACCGGCCCTACGGGCTATTTCCTCAAAGCCTATTTGACACTAATCTCCGGGTAAACATCGTTATCGACGTCACCGACACCCTATTATATGCATGGATTCGAACACGTCGATAACGATGTTTAACCTTAGATTAGTGTCAACCAGGCTTTGAGTAAATGGCCCTTAGGGCCGTTTTCTCGACTGCTTGTCTGCTTTATCGATTGCCTGTTATAAGCATATGAGCGATAAATTTGACAGGGATTCAAAGCACCGGTTATCTTTAACAGGCAGTATAGAAAACGGCCCTTAGTGTATTTAGTTCTTGGAAACTGAAAAAAGATAACCCAATATCAGATAACCCCATAACCAAGATGAAAGGAGTACCTGCAATATTATCATTGTTGTGAAAATTAAACTTTTATAGATATCTTTTTTATCATTTTTTTTTTTTTATTTCACGTTCCCATTAAACACAGTGGATAATATTAAATAATAAATAACGAGAATACCGTTTGTTTACAAAATCGCAGACAACTTATTAACGATAACGAAATTTAAAATAAAAAAAATAAAAAAACTCTTACTACTGTTAAGTGGCTCATGTCTTTAATCCTTATCTAATCCATGTCCAATCCTTACTACTTACTGTAGTAATTCTTACTATTTATTTAGTAAGATTAGACATGGATTAGACAAGGATTAGAGATAAGAGCCAACTTAACAGTAGTGGCGGATTTTATTTTTTTGAATTGTGTCGTTATTGCAGAAGATCATCGATATACTATATGTATGTAATTGCAAACATGTGTGCATAATTTGGTCTTCCCTTGAATTGCAGTTTATTCCAATGAGTATTTTCCCGTAATTTTCATTGTATTGAAGTGGTAAATATACTCGAATGTACATTTACATTTATGATAGATAGTGCAATCTAGATTTGTGTTTTTATTGACATTTGTGTAAACAATTCCACTAGGTTTGAGACCGATTTCTGAACTGCCTGCACAAAATTGATAGCCGGTCTGCTTTGTTGACTTTTTATCGATTGCCTGTGATAAGCATGTGAGCGACAAATTTGGCAGGCAGTCAAAGCAGCGGTTATCTTTAAGTGGCAGTCTAGGAAACGGCCCTTACAATATAATATATGTATGTATATTATTTATTAATCAGTAGAAAAACTCAAATTAATTCCCGAAATAATTAAATTTCTTTAAACAAACATTAGTGGTTATTTACGAATTTAAGAAGCAGATGACTAAGACTTATCATACTTAATCGAAAGAGGCATTAGTCATTAAATAATTACAATTCAAAAAGTAATTTAGTGTCGTTTTCTCGAGTAGCTTTAAAAATTTTTCTCTGCCCTCCAAACATATTTTTTCAGAATAGAATGTTTGCTTAAAGAGGGGATTAATTTGAAAACCTACTTGAGAAAATGGCCCTTATTCTTATAGAGAACACTATTATACATATACATAAACATGTGTACCATTATATATTAAATATTTATGTACATATATATTTACAACATTACCACTTATTACCATTACTATGATTAGACAAATCGAGATATTTCGACTTATTTAGGTACATACTTGAATTATGGAAAAGTAGTAGTGTTTTTGATTTAAAATTTCAATGAGAAAAGCACCAGAAACTGAATATACCAAAATTATATTTAGTAAATGTAGACACAACAAAAAAAGCTGCTGATTTTTTTAATACAATAGCATGTAGAGTAAAACCTATAATGGTGCAACCACCCAAACAATTAGCAACTAATATACAAACATATATACATGCATACATATATATAAAATATGAAAAGGTGTTGTCCTTCTGGTACATACATACATACATTTACTGTAATAATTGCATATTTAAACTATCTGAAAGATGTCAAATAAATGGCTCACGAAACATATTAGTTTGCATGCCTAGCTAAAATATTAATTTTAATCAAATAAATACAAAACGTCTTAGATTGAAAAGTGAACACCAAAATAAAAATAAACAACAACAACATTAAACGAGTATCTATGGGAAAAAGGCGTTTAGAGAACAAACATTAGAAGTTACTACAGCACAGCACAACACCGACAGAGTCACAAACACTCTCCAGTACATATAATAATAATGACACAAGCATTGAATTAAGCAACAACAAAGAAAATAATAATAAAACTCAAAACTCATCACTATTTCGCCATTATATATATTTTAAACGCCGAAATAGCTTTAATGTTAAGTTACGGATAAGTTTTACGAAAACCAATTTGAAATGTGCAAGGTTGGTAGGTAATATAAACAAATACAACTGCAATTGAAAAAACTTAAAATATGTGTAGAGTAATTTAAAATTACAACAAATATTAGAAATTCATGTTCACAACCACAACACAATGAAAGGAGTCGTCATAAGTTTAAGTCACCAAACAACAAAGTCACAAATAAAGAATCCCAAAAAAATAATGGCCTACTTTAAAAGAAATGAAGCCAAAAAAGGATGTGTTTATGCCATCTTAAGTTATTTATTATATCGTTATCTAAAGTAGTATATGTACTTAATATGCTAAAAGAGTTGTCATAATTAAACAAAACTGACATTTTCAAAAAAAAATATAAAAACATTTAGGCATGGTAAGATGAGTACGAGTAGACAGAGGAGATTGCGGATTGGTGGCAGTATGAACGGATAAGTGAATGTGCCAGAAAGGAAACAACAAAATTTACCATTCCCATGGGTTCGGAAAACGGATTTTTGGCAAATAAAGACATCGAAGTAAGCCAATAATGTGGTGGGACGCTCAGTAATGACGGTGAAATTCAGTTTCTCGATATACAATCACAGATCGAATTTGCAGATGCATTAATTTATATTGTGTTTAAATCACATAATTGAAGAATATAACACACGAAATACTAAGATTTGGAGAACCGTTTTTTGAATGTGTTTAAAATTAGAGTCGAGTCAATTCCTTCTGCTAAAGTACATAAATTTGTAATTTTACATCTTATAACATATGTGAATATGTGTGTACGTAAAAACCGATATACATAATTATTGGATTTGAAGAAATGAATACATTTCCAAATTGGGAATTATAATATTTAATATAGAAAATATA